TCAGCAAGTAGTCCCACACACCAATCAAAAAAATCAAGCTCTAAAGACACCAAGAAGAACACACCAGAGAAGACTAGTGGCAGCACTCACCATGAGGGCAACACGGCACGTGGGAATGACCAGTTAAACAACAAGGTCAACTCCAGTCAGCAAAAGCAACCACCAAGGTAAGGCTTCTACCAGTATGTTGCTTACAATTATAAGGATGTTTTGTATTGTAATTAATTTTTCTCTAATGCTCTTTTAATTCTTTATTAGCGAGTGAAAAGATACGTAAGTTATTAAATGAATACTAGATAAAGAACTTTGTACTGTACCTCAGGATTATTTGACAACTAATTAATCACTCAATGTAGAATAGAAGTAGAATAAGCTTTTAATCCCAAAAGTCTTAGGTACCTCATTTGAGCATGTTGTTGAAGCCAAGTCGCCTTTAAGCATTAATTTCTGAGAATCATAAGCCTTTTTAATTTATTTTGGTGAGAATGGGATGCAGTGAACATAAACTAGAACATTTAGTACTGTTTGACATCTTTGCTCCAGCCTAAAGGCCACAGAGGAGTTTCCCTTTTATTACCACCAACTCCACTGGGCTGTCTCTACCAGCTCCCAGCCATCCTCTACTCCCTCCCCAAGGACTCCCTCCTTTCCTGCCTTTCAGTGTCCTCTGCCATTGGATGAGCTAACCACAACATTATCTTGTTCTCTGTTTGTATTTTTATATATAGATACAAATTCATGAAGCATTTCTGTTTAGGTTATGACAATTTTTTGTTTGTGATATAATTTTTAAAAATGTTTCCCTTTTTTTACTTTTACACAAATGGGAAAATTTTCAGCTTTGATACCTTACTGTTCAAGAACTATTTGCTGTACCAGAGCAAAATATATATTTTCTGTGTGTAAATTTGAGCTTTCCAAACTTTAGTATGTTACCTGCTAGCCCAAATGAATCCTAGATCAGTTGGCATTGCTGTCCTTATTTATTTGTTATAGACTCGGTTACTTTTTTCTTGGAAGTTAATACTAGCCCCCCCCCCCCCAAAAAAAAAAAAATAAATAAATAAATAAATAGAATAAAATAAAATAAAATTGAAACGCACCCAAACTGATCCTAAACTACCAAGAAATCATCCCCAACCTATATATGTCTTTAAGATATGCAGTATGGCAACATGATAAAGGAAATAAAACCTATAAGGGGAGTGGGGCAGCGTCACACCCACTTTATGTCTGTAATAAAGGTGATATTCCTCTAAGATTCGTTATTAAATGTGTTTTAGTCACAAAGTAGTTTTCCAACACTGTGTAAACACTCTGTGAGAGCTCCTAGCCAGCCACATTTCATGACATGTAATGGCAACATGTACCTTTCTTAACATCTTGATATTCTATGATACATTCACCTAATGTTCACAACTCACTGACCATATCCACGTGGGTGATAAAAGAAATAAACAGAAAGTCACAGATGACATTTAGAAAATAAATGAAAGCCTTGAACAGAAAGAGAAGGGAAAATGGAGTACCAAGTGAGGTGTGTGTCACCTATGCCCATGCCTCTATTCCCCCCCCCCCCCCATCTCTCCCAGTTTCTCTCCACCTTGCAGTTTACTCCTACACCCATCTATGCAACACAAAGAAATGGATAAGGCTAAATTAATTTGTTTAATGAGATTGTGGTGAAAAAAAAAATGATTAAAAATTATTTTTTATTGCTTCGGTTATTTAGCTCATAGCAGTGAGGTTTGGGGGGCGGGAGGGAGATTACAAGCATTAGAGGATAGTTATCAGGAAGAGCAGTTTTTATTCCGTAATTAGTATTTCCATATGACATTTTGTTTATATATTTTGATTATTTTGGTATATTATCTCCATGTCCTAAATTCATTAAAATTGATAAAGAAATAAACTAGATGCCAAATATTTAAAAGGCTCGAGTCTTTCATTAAGTTCTCCCAAAGATTATGAAACAGATTAGAGGTTAACAGGGTATACACTTTAAGAGTCAATGGCCCAGAGTAGCTACCCTGTGATCTTATGTTACAGTAGGTTTACGTAGCATAAGGACATGATGTCATTCCAAGAGGTACAGGAATTTTTACAAAATTCTTTAAGGTTGGTGCTAAAGATACCAAATGACTTTTCACAAAAAAAAAGAAAAACAAAAAGACATTAACTCCTGTGGTCTGGATAATGTGATCATTATGTCCCGAAAAATGTGGCTTGAGGGGCGGAGGACGTGAGCATGCCATGATGGAAGAAATTGAGTGAGGTCAGGGTGATGGGAAATTGCCATCATGAGAAGTTTTGCAGAAGGCTGTAGTGGTGGAAAATTGCTGTCGTGAAAATTTCGGCTAAAGGCTAGGGTGACAGGAATTCACAAAGTTCTTGGAGGGTGATTAGACTTGATAGGTATTTAGAAAGGGTCTATTGCATTATTTCCATCAAGATATGAGTGTGCCAGGTACCATCCATGAGCCATGACTAGGAGAGAGCTTGGAGTATGCTATTTCCATGTAAAGGAGCCTATTCCTAGCCACTGTGAGGGGTGGTGCGGATTATATTTCAGAAAATTGAATACTGCAAAAATTAAAAAAATGACACAAATAACAAAATATTAATTACTGTTATTATAATTGCACTGAGCTATAGACTACCTAGAGAGATAATATGGAGTCTGTGCAGGGAAAATAGTGTATAACTATCTTGATACAACATATCATATGACAAATATTGGTAAATGGCAAAATAATTCAAAATACTTATGCAGGAAAAGAAAATAACAAGCCACACTCCTGTCATAATGGCCACACAAATAAGCGTAATGGCTGGATTTTGGGCCATATGCTGGCACCTGGATCCAGGGGGTTAAATTTGCTATGAATATTGACAGGCTTTTTTTTATGACATGTTGTTACAGTGTATTTTGTTCTTGTGCAGACACAATTTAGGTAACGGAATTGTCTTTTGGTCTGGAAATTTTCATTTCTTTGTGGCCAATCTCATCTTCTCTTAACAAACAGGATGTGTAGAAGAAGGTAGAGAAATAGTCAGTTGTACTCAAGAAGTAAACTTTGCTAAAGACCTTCCTTTTACATGATTTTTTCTGGTCAAAGGCGCTATCACTAATACATGAATCATTGCAGAGTGATAGAGAGATTACTTTACAATCTCATTGGAATTGATAACCTTCCCTTTTTATCTGGATATAACATCTAGTGTCAACAAGAGGTGCTGATTTTTTAAATATTTTTTTCTGCTTCCTTGTTTCATAATGTGAACCTTACAATGATGGTCCCAGAAATTTCTGTTTCACTCATTCTCCTGACTAATGACAACTGTCTAGCCTCTTGGCTTGGAAGTTTGCTGTGTACAGCAGAACTTCCCTCTCAACTCGCTTTAATGAGTTGCTACGCCTATATCTGTACCCATCACAGTGAGTTTGTTTTTCATGATGGCTATAGGCGTGTCTAGCTATAAAAGGTTGATGTGTTTTTCATGATGGCTATAGGCGTGTCTAGCTATAAAAGGTTGATAAGAAGTGGTTAAAGACAAATATACTTAGGTGAAGCAGAGATAAGCTTGCTTATGTTATGTGCAGTAATAAATCAATGTGAGTGCTAGTTTGCTTTTGATATTGGCTCTTAGCAATGATCACTACTTATCTTACCTTGAGAATAAATGATTAACTTGAAGAGATTGTGGAGCCCTACTCGGGTTCCTCTTCCAATAGATAACTGAGGAGATAAGACTTGGAATTGAGAAAGCAATGAGATAGTGCTGCCTCAGGATTAAGAATGAAAACACCAGTGTGTGTGTGTGTTCAGTGTATAAAGTATTTGTGCCATTGGCTATTTTTTGCAAGGATATTATTTTAAGTAAAATTTATAGCAGCAGTTTTACTTTTTCTTGCTAAAAAAATTCAAAATAGAATTTACAAGATCCATTTGAAAATAGCACTATACTGCTTACAAAATTATGCAGAATTTGTGCTGAATGGTAATATATGATGTGGATTATTTCTAGACTCCTTCGGTGTAACTGCCATCATGTGTAAATGAACTTTTTTTTTCTTCTATTACAGTTAGTTAATGTAGTTTCTAGTTACCTCTGCTGCTTATTTTATTTTATAAATGTGTATATTGCAGTCACGTGATAGTTTGGTGTAATGTAGTTAAGGTGTGATGTGTTGAGATAGAAAAAAAAAATTGTATGCCATTAACCCATTCGTCCCATGTGGCAAGAATGCATACCATGCCCACTGTAACACACATTTATTTATTGTATTTACACATAGATGGCTCTACAAGTTCTTAACCCAATGGTGACGGGTGAAGAAAATGAAAAAAAAAACTCTATGCTCTGGCCAACAATGGCGGCGCGCTGGCTTTGAGTGCGTGAGTTCGGTACATCAGCCTGAATTACTGGCTTGCCGTGCTTTGGCGCGCTGCCGCAGCGTACAGCCACACGCCAGCTTTCGAGCAGTTTGTTTTCACGCCTATTGGCGTCACCCGTCGTTAAGGGGTTAATCACCAAATGGCCAGTTTATCAGAACTACCTATCTCACCTGTTTACCCTTTTCCTTCACTTTAGGAAAGGGTTTTTTGTATCATTTCATTGTCTAAAATATTTTAATGAAAATTTAATAATTATAACAACTATAACAATAATAATAGTATCGATAGCAATGGTATAAATTTCCCGCCAATTCAATGAATGGGAAAATCAGGATCGGTAACTAGGGCCAACTGATAGACTCCTTGTCGGCTGAGCACATGTGGAGCCATCTGTATGTAACAACATTCACCAAAAACTACAGGGGATAGAACATAAATCTGGGGCAAATGGGTTAACAACAGACAGTCAGGATTTATGCAGAAAAAAAATTTAAAGGAACAATAATATTTTGTTCAGTTTTTCTTAGTAGTGAATATTATTCAGAATGCCCCATTTTATTTGCTTCTCTGCGTGCTTGTTGCTAACCTGTAATCGGATATTAAAAGCTTGCAGTATTACTGTGGGTAACTCAGATAATAGTATATTTGCTGTTCACACGCTAACTACCAAAATCTAGAGATGTTAGTAACTAGGGTGTGACCGTTTTAGAACAATTCTATTTATATTTTAGAAGATTAATTGTAATTATTGTGAGTGTCTACAGTCTACACTAATTAGGTCTGTATAAAAACCAGTCTAGAAAATCCTGTGATTTATATATTCCATTTGTTATTTTTTTCTTTTGTTAAGTATTGATAAAGAAATTTGTTGTTTGCCTTTCCTGAATCTCATATACTTATTGAAATAGTACTAAAGAAGTAACATGATGTACCCAAAAAATTTCCATACTTAGAGTAATAAAAAAAAATGGCATTGATTGGGAAAAGCTGTTTCAACAATAATCAGACAATATAAAACACAGCTTAAGAAACCTTGGAATTATGTTAAGATTAAATTATATACTACCCTAATATGTAATGTTCTCTTGCTTTATGTCAAAAACACATATAATCAGATTAAAAAAAAAAAAGTAATTGCACAGAAAAAAAAGGATTTATTAAGTGTCTGGCAGCAAGGCTTTGCACAAACCTGTACTGAACTGGAAGTTCCCTCCACTGGCTGTGCCTACCCACTAAACTCCTATAACCTGAGATTATATACATATACTCAGATTATGGCCCCCAGTTTAGTTATTATACAACTTAGTATAATAACAATAATTATAAGTAATATTGTTATTTTTGTAATTTTTGAATATTATCATGGTATTAAAATTTCTGTAATTCAACCTGTGCCACAGGTCATGGCAGGCAGGGATAGGATCCTTGGCATGGAAATAGTGTCATCTCAGGTGCTGGCACTCTTCAAGCCATAGCCCTTTTACCAGTGGATGTAATGCAAGACCCTCTTCCTAAATGCTCACTGTGTCTAATCCTCTGCTAATGGCTTTGTGCACTCATGGCGAGTCATTCCCATCACCGCAGCCTTCAGCTAAATTTTTCATGAAGGTACATTTCTGTCGCCCTGGCCCTCAGCCAAATTTTTTCCAAGACACCTGGAAATACAATGAGTTAATGTTTGACAATAAATAAAAAGTGGCATGCAAGTTTTCTGTACCTTTAATGATGTGGAGTAATCATCCCGAATATAAAATCACACTTGTTGTCTGTGTGTCATAAGAACAATTTAAAGACAGCCCTTATCAGTGTGGGATTCCTTCAGAACCGTCTTGTACTTTGGTCGAGTCGTAGACAAAAATCAACTAAGACATTTTTGTGAAAAGTAATTGGCAAAACTGCAGAGCCAAATATGTTTTCTCTGTCATAGACAAATCTATGACCTTTCATGAATAGCACCTGAGATTATTTGGGAAGAGATAAAAAGGTATTGCTAAATATAAATGAAAAATTAAATAGGAAAACTATCAAATAACAAATGAATACAAAACATGAAATATATGTACAGATATTATATAGGTATTGTACATGACAACAATGATACAAGTATATTGTTTTTTATGGTAAAGCATTGAAATTGGATGTCCTCCTTGTAGCATCTTTCTCTTCTGAGCAGTTGGCTGTATCAGTCTTTGTGTTGCCACATCAACTTTATGTTCGCTTTTTTTTTTTTATTTCAATCCTCTGATGGTTATTTCAGGTCTTTGGTCATTTGGAAATCGTAGCTTTATGTTGGATAACACCTATTTATTGCACATAAATGTTTGTATTTATGTATGTATGCTGTTGACTACCATATCTGTAGGCTAACCTGATAGTACTAGCAATACCCACACTACACAGTTGCAGAGATGAATCTTCATGAAGGATTTTGGAAAAGACTCAGTAATATTTATGTATTGGGTTTAAGGAATGGTCTTAATAAATGGCTTTACCTAGTTTCCCTGAACTCTAAGAAAAGATGAAAAAATCAAATTACATATAATCAAACTATTCTTGGTATAGCTTCTTTGTGCCTATATGCAAGAATTAGAAAGCATCTAGGTTAAGAACCAGATAACTTATTTAATGAATTTTGATGAATGTATAAGAAACAAAAGTACAAAAGTGAAAGAGTAAGAAAATATCAACTTCCCTTTCAAAAAGATTAAGACCATATCAGCTTGCTTTGCTTTATCACATAACAGTTCTGCCATCATTTCAGACGAACGTCATACATCAATAATAACCTGAATGCCAACACCTCAACAACGGCCCCTCCTGCTTCGCCAACCAACAGTAATAGTCATCATGGTGACAGCAGTCCTGCAAGTAGTGTCAATGCCTGTGAGAGTAGCACGGCCAACAACAACAACAATGACATCACTCGCAGTGACAGCAATAAGACCAAGAGTGCGCAGATGAGCAAAGAAGAGAAAAAATATGGTATGTTTTTTTATGACTTTCTTCTGTGATATACGTAAAAGGTTTGTAGTTTCGGGAAAGATAGATATTCTAGAAATATAGCAAATTATAGAGAGTGAAATTTTGGTTAAAACTAAAGCTTATGTTTGCACTAGAAAATAATGAATAGATGATTGATTTTTGGAGAGAAGAGGCATTCATCACAAGTCAATATGAAAATAGGATTATTTAAAGATAAATAAGGACCTTCTTATTGAGATAGGTATCGGATTTCTGGCTTCAGGTTACAGACGTGTATTGATTGGTTGGGGGTTTACCTATCACAGACTTGTCTTTTATTATTCATATATTTATCATCATCTCTTCAGTAGGAAAAAGATAATTGTAATAATACTTTATGTTACTTATTTCTGTTATGAGTTCCTGGGGTAATATCTGAGGTTATTTCTGTGCCTGGTAGACAAGGGTCTTTAGTTTCAGCTTTCATTATGTAATTATGGAATCATGGATATGTATTGTAAATCAAGTGCTGTTTCTTGCTTTTCCCATTTTCAGTATAAATATAAAAAAAAGTTAGAAGATATTTGTGCGATGTCAAAATGCTTATTATGCAGATCTTTTTTCAAGCTTTTTTTTTTTTTTTTTTTCCAACTAGCTGTGTTTTTGCAATATAGGGACAGGTGAATTATTGCACCATGTGCTTTTAAAATGATAATGCCTTATTTGACATTCTTAATTTGTGCAAGAAAGTAGTTTTACTTCGGCTAGTGATGCTATGTATCAATCTTAGTAAATTTGTTCATGACTTTTTTTCTTCTACCTTTGTTTTCCACTTTTGTCTTCTTTTTTTTTCTGTTTGGTAATTTTCATTTCTCCAATTTATTCTTACATCATGATAATACGCTTCTCTTACTACGAGTCTGAAAAGGGCCATTTGGCAACCTTTACCCTTCCCTCCCTCCCTCCATCCCACCCGTTCGTGTCTCGCTTCGGAAGACGAGAGTAAGACGAGCCAGGCAGTCTGTTGGAGCTGTGAGAGTGGGGGAGAAGGGTTGTGTAGAGTTTTTTCTGAGGATTTTGCTTTTTTACCCCCTTTTTATAGGTAAATAGGGATGTATCATTATTAGAGTTGTATTTGTTAAATTACAGTGATTTATCATTATTAGAGTTTTATTTGTTAAATTACAGTGATTTATCATTATTAGAGTTGTATTTGTTAAATTAAAGTGATTTATCATTATTAGAGTTGTATTTGTTAAATTACTGTGATTTATCATTTTTAGAGTTGTATTTGTTAATGTAATTTCATTTTTTTTTTCTAACAGCAGAGCACAGTGCAAGCAATAGCAGTAACAGCAACAATAGCAATAGCAATAGCAACAGTAACAGCAACAGCAACGGAGGCCGGGCAGCAAGCAGAAAACAAGTGCCGAATAATCACGAGAGGTTTGAGAGAAATCGGGAAAACCAGTCGAAAAGGGTAACCCAGAGGAGGCGAAAAGGAACATCATTTACACATTCAGGCAAGGAAGCATTTATCTTAGTAAAATTACTAGTCTTGTGGACTTCAGATAAAGAGTCATGAGAAATGTTGAAGGATATTAGAGCATAACAATTTTCTGTATCAGGTCAGTCATGTAGCGGATCCAGTATTTTGTGTTGTAAAAAAAAAAAAAAAAAAAACGTTCTTGAGTATTGTTTATCCTTTTTTTATTATAATATTTTGATATATGGATATTTTCCTCTTAAACTCTAAATCTTGACAATACCTTTATGCACTGCTTTCTCTTGTGTTATCCAGTATCATTTTGTTCTTCACGGCTCACGAGAACACCCCTCTTCCCTTCCCTTTTGCAGAACTGGTGGTGGCGAGCTGGGCTGTGGTGGTGCAGTGGGTGGGGCTGGCACTGCAGGCAGTCCTATGGCTGGGCACCCTCTCTGCTGATGTCATGGTCATGAGCTCCCGCCTCTCACTCCACCTCATGACAGTAGTCTGGGCCAGACTCAAGGAGACATGGGCCTGGCTCATGCTCAATGGCCGATACTACTGGACCAAGTGGATCAATTGCTTCTGGAACACGGATAAGGAACACATAAGAATGTCAGGTGAGGGAGTGTAACACTGAGGATAAGGTTAAAGGCATGTTTTTGCTAGCCTGATATAGTTTGGGAAACAATAGTTTTTTTTTTTTCGGTTTGTTTTCTTCACCCGTCAGCATTGGGTTAAATGAACTGTCCCAGCTGATGCCTACTTTGCTCTGATCATTTGATCCCAAAAGATGATGGTTTCAGGTGACTCATTTATTAATTTGCATGTTGTAAAGTAAAAACTTATGATTCTTGTCATATATGATTTTTACCTTGTTATCTCATATTAGCTTTAGAGTGGTCATGGTGTGGGTCAGTGTTTCTATTTTATTACTAAGAAATAACTGCATCTTTCTAAGTTTTCCAAAATTCGTAAATCCTCCCACAACACACCCTACTCTCTGTCAAATGCAAATGTCAGATTTTGAGGCACATAAATTTGTAGACACTGGGTGGTACCAAACCGATGAAGTCAGATATGCTAGTTGAAGTTTGGACACTTTAGAATTCTTTTCTATATTAATTTTTTACAAAATATAATCTTGTATATAGGAAAAATGCTCATGTAATTTACTTTGCAATGAGACTATTAGCAAGATCATCAGAATTATTGTTTTCAATAGATAAAATATTTTGTAAAATGACTCATTCCAAACATATTTGGATGATGAAGGGATGGGGGCATTGGGGAGAGGGGATTTTTTTGTAAAGTTGAAATACACACAAGATAATCAAATTAAAACCTTTGAAGAGGAGAGTGGTGAGGGGTGTCCACTTAACTGTGATAATGATATTGTTCACAGTTTACCTTTTTTTTCCCAAAAACATGTGAAAAGGATATGATAGCTGTTTCAACTATTTACAGTTGCTGTTCTATTTTCATTTTTTTGGGGGGGGGAGGAGGAGGACAAGTATCATTGTTAACTACTATTTTTTTATGATTAAACATGCTAAGTCTTTTTTATTTTTCCAAAATTCAAAATCCCTTATGGGATGATATTTGTATTGTAATGTTCTTTCCAGTGAAAAGGACTGATTTCAAATAATATCAGACTTGAAGACTCTTGACTCTACCAACACCAGGAGTGAAGCCAAGCTGAAATATTATCATCATAATTTACACTGTTATTTTGTTTTTTGTGTGTACTTCATACTTGGTACTCATAGGTACACATACTTGTCAATCTATAAGCTATTTGTATATTACTGTGGAGTCATAGAGCGAAATATATGTGTAATTGTACCCAGAACTTATATTTAAAAAGTAAATCTTACTAAATATTTCAATTTAAATCTTTTTGATTTTCTATTTTTTATATTGGTATAAGAATATTCTTAGACATTATCAAATGCTGTATGTTTGCAAATAGTCAAATTATTTACACCTAATGCAAACTACTGATGTCATTAGTTTACTCCTTGGCACTTATGCCCTTGCTGGGCCAAAGAATAACCAGAGGTAGGCTCTTAGAAGTGTTATGGTAGATTCTACATGCATTTATGAATACCATAAGCAAACTTACTCCCAATGACCATTCTAACCTTCCCTCCTCAGGTATGGTCCTCTTAACATAAAGCACTGATGCAATGAATAGTTATATAGATGCTTTCATGATAATGAGATTCAACACTAAATACAGAAGGATTGTTTGCATTTGAGTATCTTTGGGAACCAAGTATTCTATTAAGTTTGCTGAAGTAGTTTAAAAAGGAAGAAATTATCTGCATTTGTATTTTCATTTTTTTCAAGACCCATTTCTAAACTTTAAATCAGATGCTAAAGGTTCTTATTATTCATGTATCCCCCTGCAGGAAAGGAAAACAAAGTCTCAAATGGCCTAGAATGCAACATCTCTTTACCAACAACTGGAGAGGAGGCCATGAAGCGACTGCTGGCCTGCAAGGGGAAAGACCCGTACAACATCCTTGGGGTGACGCAAGACTGCACGGACGAGGATATCAAGAAGTACTATAAACGGCAAGCGTTTCTAGTGCACCCGGACAAGAACAAACAACCAGGAGCAGAGGAAGCCTTCAAAATTCTGGCACATGCCTTCGAAATTATAGGAGAGCCGGTGAGATAGATTTCCTTGTTTTATTTCATATTTCCACAATCTCTTCCTCCTGATAAAAAGAAAATAATGATTGTAATGATCAGGTAATAACAGTGGTAAGGGTCATAAAAATAAGAGTGACAATGGAATAATCCCCTGCTTGGTGTTTCACAGGATCGCCGACGAGAATATAATGCTAGTTTAGCAGAAGTTCAGTTAGAAGGCGCGTGGGGGGAGCTGGCATCGCTCTTAACGCGGCTCCAGGAGAAACTCGACGAAGCCGCGAACACCATACGCTGTACCAACTGCAACAAGAGGCATCGACGTACCAAGTTAACCAAGCCTATTTATGCGGCAAGACATTGTGCGGAATGCCAGATACACCATGCTGCAAGGGAGGTAAGATCATATGAACAGAGAGGGGTCTTTGGTTCTTGGTAATGAATATTCTTAGCAGAATTTGCTGGTGATTTTTAAAAATACCACTGTTAAGATTATGGAGGAAGGTTTCGCTGATTAATAGTTATCTGATTTGGTGTTGAGAATTATTTTTTGGTATTCTTTTCTTCTTTACCACATTAAAACTAAAACTAAAACAAAACAAAATATAAATGAGATTGAAAGACAAAGTAAAACCCCAAAATAAGATGAAAATAATAGAAAAAAAAAAAGTTATTCTCAGATAAGTATATGCTTTATATATATTCATAGAAATGTTTTCCATCACATCTTTAATTTTCTGTGATTAGTAGAATGAATACTGCTACTAGGAATTTTCTGTAATTAATAGGAAGATTTATCAGTTTTGGTCTTCTTAGATTCAAGTTGGTGTTCTCTTGAATGTTTTATACAGAGAATCCCCAAAGAGAAACAGTAATTTGGACTGACTTGGGGCCTACCTTAAGAGTCATTTTGGGTGTAAGAACATGTTTACTTGTATAGTATTTTGTCTTATGTCAGCAAGCATTTGATTAAATGCTGTAGGCACAATACATGG